GGGACTAAATTTGATATTATTTCTTGAAGGACTTAATTAGGGACAGAACTAAAAAGTGTTTAGAGATTATTGACTTGTCTAAATAGAGGGACGTTGTAAACATTAATAGGAACTATTTAAAGTTTCATGCTTATTATGTACAGTATAGATGTCTGCTTAAGAATTAGCTATAACAGCTTTTCAGTGTAAGCTAGACATTAAAGGCTGTGGCTACTTTAATGCATGTGTTTTGGAAATGCATCTTTAGATTAGATGGAACTTAAGCTATTTCTAAAGTAGACTTATAGTGTTTGAGAAGAAATTAATAGAACCTGTAAATTGTAGTGATTTAGGCTAATAGTCAAAATAAATGTGGTAGAAAAAGTCAATTTTTAAAAAGGACTCCTAGATTCAGTTTGAAGGAACTAATAAATCTTTGGGTTTAATTTTTAATTCTAGTTTTGTATACCTGGGTATATTTTGATGGGAATACAACATCATTATGTATTTTCCTTCTGTAGATGTGGAAAATCACCTACTTTATAGTAAGTCCCCACATCTCCACTTAGAAACACACTCATTTATGTTTGTGCTCATGTACAAACATGCACGTGCACACATTCACAGCACACTGGTGTGCCCACACACATCTCTTTCCTCTTACACCCCATACGTAATGCCAGTTGTAGAGGATTATGCCAGTTTACTATTATACTCCTACATGGGTTTGCCTGAGGGAAAAGATGGTAACTTTGACTAAGCTTGTCATTTTCTCTCATTTCCATGTTGCTGAGATGATTATTTCAAGAGCAACGCTACAGTATTATCTCCAAGAATAGTTATGAGAAATTTACTTTTATTTAAATTACCTTAAAGGATTAGAAAACGGTTGTATAATTTTAATTTTTTCACAAAAAGTGAAGAAAATCAGTTTTCACTTTCTCAACCTATTAAAAACCTAGTATTTTAATTATTTTTTCCTGACAATTAACTAATGACCTGGGCAACTTAACCTTGGTTTGCTTATCTATAATGAGCTAGAGAATTTTATTTCTGAGTTTTAGTCTCCTATATTCTGTCATTATAATATGGTCTCCAATTCTTCATTATTGTTATATCTTTAGAGTAAATATGATCTTGAAAAATGTACAAGAGTTTTTGGGGGGGATCATTTTAGTGGAACAGTCATCTCTTTCTAAAGAGATTGACTAACTGATTAATCATCCCCTCAAATTGGTTCAGCTAGTTACAATTTTTGGAGGTTCCTCAAAAAATTAAAAATAGAACTACCATATTACCCAGCAATCCCACTCCTGGGTATGGTATATCCAAAGGTAATGAAAACAGTATATGGAAGAGATAGTTGCAGTCCCATGTTTATTGAAGTCTTATTCACAATTGACATGATATGGATACAACCTATGTCTGTCAATGGATGAATGAATAAAGAATATGTGGTATGTATATATAATGGACTATTATTCACATAAGGGAAAGAAGGAAATCCTCCCTTTGCAATGAGATGGATGAAACTTGAGGGCATTAATGCTAAATGAGGTAAGTCAAACAGAAAAGATAAATACTATATGTATATCATATGTACTTGGAACTGGAAAAAGCCAAACTCATGAAAACAGAGAATAGAATGGTGGTTACCAGGGACTGGGGGCGGGTGCAGGAATTGGGGAACTGTTGTTTAAGGATATAAGTTTGCAGCCAGTAGATAAATAAGTCCTAGAGATTAATGCGCAGCATAGCGATTACAGATGACAATTCTGTGTTATAAACTTCAAAGGTACTAAGAGACTAGATCTTAATTGTTCCACATGGCAGAGGTTTTAGCTAATACTAAGGTGGTAATCATATCATAGTTATAAATGTATCATATCAACAGGTTGTATACTTTAAACTTGCATAATGTTATATGTCAATTATGTCTCAATAAAAATAATCATTCCCCTGTATATTAGAAATATATATTTAATTATGTGTATCAAATCACCACATTGTATACTATCTTACAATTTTATATGGCAGTTATGCCTCAATAAAGCTGAAAAATTTAAAAATCAGTAATTATTCCCCTTACACATTATACTCTTAAAATCAGGGAACAGGTTTTTGGGTTACCACCATATCTAAGTAAAGGTATGACTTACCTTTTGCTTAGAAATGGGACATTTTTCTTGGAAACTTTTCAGATTTACTTTTAAGAGATTTAAAAAAAGCATAAAATTTGTACAAAGTTCACTGTATCTCTGATCAAAAAAGTATTTAAGCCTTTTGATTCCCAAGCATATGTATTTAACATATAGAATTCATATTTTTTTCTTTATACTGGAGTGTTGACTTCAGTGTGCAATACTATAATGAAGTTTAACTTTTCGTGGTTTTTTTTTTTTTTTTGTACTTTTGAGAGTATGTTTTTTCCTGAATTTTACTTTATTGTCTGGCATTTATTTTTAATATTCCTTTCCATTTCATTAATGATAGTGATTTTCACGTGAACATCAGTGAACTTTCACTTGTTGGTTAGAATTTTCAGAACAAGTATTAAGAATAGTAAAGCACAATCTTTTTCTAGTTATGTGATTTTTGTGCATTACTTTGGCAAATTTGACAATTGTCAGGTGACTCTAAATTAAAACAGTAATTATTTAACTGAGCTTTTTATTTGATTCTTTCATTTGCTGTAGATAAATTGGGAGTTAGCTTTTTTAAAATTAAATTTGTTGAGGTAACAGCTGGTTAATAAAATTATATAGGTTTCAAGTATATAATTTAATAATACATCATCTGTATATTGCATTTGTGTGTTCACCACCCAAAGTCAAATCTTCTGTCACCATATGTTTGACCCCCTTTACCCTCATCTACCTCCACCTCCCCCCTTTCCCAATGGTAAACACGAAACTGTTGTCTGTGTCCATGAGTTTTTGTCTTGTTCATTTGTCGCTTTCAGTTTTATATTCCACGGGTGAGTGAAATCATGGTTCTCAACTTTTTCTGACTTATTTTGCTTAGCGTAATAATCTCAAGATCCATCCATGTTGTTGCAAATAGCAGTATTTCATCTCTCCTTGTAGTTGAGTAATATTCCATTGTATATATGTACCACATTGTCCTTATCCAGTCATCTGTCGAAGGACACGTGGTTGTTTCCATGTCTTGGCCACTGTGAGTAATGCTGCAGTGAACATCGGAGTGCATATATCTTTACAGATAAATGTTTTCAAATTTGGAGGGTAGATACCCGGAAGAGAGATTGTTGTGTCACACAGTAATTCTAGTCTTAATTTTTTGAGGAACTTCCATACCGTTGTCCATAGTGGCTGTACCAGTCTACATTCACCAGCAGCATTTGAGGGTTCCTTTTCCCCAACCACTTCTCCAACACTTGTTACTTGTCCTGTTGATAATAGCCGTTCTTATAGGTGTGAAGTGGTATCTCATTGTGGTTTTGATTTCATTATCATTCTGCAGTGTTGAGAAAAGTGTTACAATAGTTTTTATTGTTACTGTTAATATGAAGTCTTCTAAAAACTATGCAGTTATATTTAAGATTAGATGTGTGTAGTAAAACCTAACCAATTTATATTAAATATGGGGGAAAGTCTAGTTTTAATTACAGGCTTTAGAAGGTGAATTAAGTGTGTAACTCAAACTAAGCTACAGGTATTACCTTCTAGAGAACAGGCTTTAATGACTATGTAAGAAATATAAGTGATGCAAACATCAGTGATGATGTCAATATACATTATAGTTTATGTTATGTTATTGTTATTACATGATTCTTCTAAATTTCTTGAAAATGTCTTATAATTTGATGAGTATTTTCCTTCCAGTCGTTTGACTAGTGTCTTCTTCATTTAAAGACATGTGGTGTATAGGTTTCGTTCATTCTACCCTTCAGCAAGTGATCAGTGGTTGCTCATTGGTAATATTTTAATTAATAAGGTTTCACTGTATTTACACTGAGGTTTGCTGCATAATAATTCTTTTATAATCATAGCTAAGTAATGTGCTTCTTGCTTAGTCTGTATTCCTGATAATCAGTGATTCATCTGTAGTGTTGATAATAAGGAAGCAATGGCATGTTACAACCAACTTAGAATGTAGATCTAACCTACTTTAGTGATTGAAATACTGTTTTCTAGTTTTTTAGCATGCTTCCTGGATGACCTATTTTTTTTTAGTGGATATCATGGTTTTTATTTCTCATCTTATTGCTATAAGGTTCATATTATTGCTATTTCTTATAACTTAACTGTTCATACTCATCTTCACAATGAGCTAAGATGATTAGATTATTTAGTATTATGCAAAGTCTAAACATAATTTACAGCATTATAAGGTCATGAATATATGGAACGCTACAAAATTTTGTTCAGCTTACATTCATTTAAAGCAGTGGTACTGTTTCAGAGAGAAGGAAATATCTACTTTCGTAATAGCTAATTAATACTATTACTCTTATGATAAAGTCATTTCTGATAATAATTATGATAAAATAATGTTTTGGTTAAATTTGTTAGTTTTTGTCATACAGTCTATAAAATTTATCTTTTAGATTTATAATAGTGAGTAGCTGGAGAATGGAGAAAGGAGCACATTTCATTTTATACAATATGTGTATATGTGATGAAATATAAATAATATTTTTATAGGTTTGACCCTTCCATAATAACTTATCTGTGGCCCTCCCTTGCAGTGTTTCCGCCTAGATGATATGGAGAGGAGCTTAGGAAGTGGTGATTTGATTTTTGCTCTTGAGAGGCTTGCCATTTAAAATAAATAATTGAACAAAGCTTTTTCATTCCAAGACTCTGTAAGATCTTAATTTATGGCTTCAGGAAAATTCTGACTATCGAGTTATATTCATATCGTTAAGTTTAAAGAGAAGAGTCAGGAAACTTTTTTTCTGGGGTAATTTTACGAAGGTAATTAAAAATGGCTCTTTGTTACAAACTCAGGCCGTTTTCTGTTTTTAACCTCTAACGGATTTTTTTTGTTTTTAACAGGTGGAGAAAGAACCTGTGGAGTACATGAACTTATCTGTATTAGAAAAGGTAAGTCAGTGCTCTGCATGGACATTTAGATACAAAATGAGCACTTCACAGTGTATGATAAATTTTAGTAATATGACATAATTTGGACTTATAAAATTTAATAAATATTAATATTTATTATTTGTGTTACAGACTTTTGCAACCATAAAGTGCATATTGCTTATTATGTGGTTATTGAGAGTCATTACTTTATGTTTAGTTTTGATGGACTGATAAAGCCTGGTTTCTAGCATATTGGTTATTAGACATGGTGAAGAGGCAAAGAATGGAGGGTTTGATTTTTGTTCCCTTTCAGAATCTGGAATCTGGGTGCATGCTGATCTCCCATTGACTTCTGTTCTATTACTGTACCCCATCAGAGAGATGTGAGGAGTTGGTTGAAATTCAAATCGGGAACATGTCCAAAGACCACCACATCTTTTGACACCAACAACTGTCTGTGCTTCCTTAGAAGGAGCCACCTGACAACTGGGTGGTTCAACAAGGTGGCCCCAGGAAAGGTAATTCAGTTTTTAGGTGGGAGGCAAGGAATCAGGTATTCTCTTTATTTGGAAGAATCAGGAGAAACTTGGGAGACCCCACACTCATAAGTAATCACGAATCTGTGAAATGGTGTGTGAAGAAAGGAAAAGATGCACCTGGTGAGGTCAGGGGAAGAGATTCTCGTAAATTTACTATTTTTTTTCTTTTTAAACTTGGGGGACTTTCTTTTTCTTGCATCTTTCTTGAAAACCGACTTGGCCCTCCTGCGGCCAACTAGCTGCGCTCCCTGCTCTAACATTTCACCCTAGGGAGGTTCGAGGCAGTGTCAGTATGCGACACATGAGTATGATTGGCATGCCAGGGAAATGTCGGCGTATTTTCAGTAAATTTCCAGCCGGTCTGGAAAGTTTCAGCTTATTCAGTGTGGAGAAAAAAATTAATGCTTTTTCGGTCAATTTGACGTGGTCGTACTAGTTTATCTATATCATTGCTTACAATTGCTATTCATTTAAAAACAATCTCTTTTCTTTATTACGGTATAGTTTATCTATATACCTTTTCTCTGGTATCATAAAGGAGAAAATTGAAATCAGTTCCCTGAAATCTCAAATTTAGGACTGTGATTTTCATGCTATAAACATTGTTGATTTGTGCTTCTCTAGAATGGGAGAGTGAAGGGCCACATTTTACATTATTTTCTTCCACTACATAAACATTTTTAGTCTTCTGTAACATAGTAATCCAGAGTTAATAAAAATGTTTAAAATAATTTTAGTTATTACCCATCTCACTAAAACTTCTAAAACACAATTTATTTGACTGGACAGCAAATGACACTATGCAAATCAGTTGGAATCAAAAGTTATTAAAACTGTAGTCAGCTGAAGAGAGAGTCAAGCCAAGAACATAGATAACTAGAAGGGAGAGAAATAAAATGAGCAAAGGCCTTTTGTAGCTGCCGTGAGAACTGAAAGCTACAATGGGGGAAACAGCATAGATAGGGATTGATGACGACCGCTCCTTTTTATTATGGGATTGATGACGACCGCTCCTTTTTACTATGGCCCCTCTTGCTATTCTTTATTGTGATCTTTATTCCCATCCAGGTAGTTCTCAGACTATGCCTTGCCCACATTTTCTACATGAGTTTAATCCTTTTCACTTCCTTTCGTTTTTCTGTAGGATTTAAAATCTGTGATTAAAAATGTTTAAAATTACTCCACATCGTAGTCATGTCATGGAAAAGTTTCTGAAGCTCTTTGTCTCCCCTCAGCATTCAGTATAGCATCCTATTCTAGTGGATGTTCCATAAGCATTTGAATCTTTTCAAAGTTAATGCTCAGAGGTAAAGCTTTTTTGCATTTTAAGCTGGACTTTCCTAGAGTAGAGCATATGACAGCTATATAAAGCAGAATAATTATAATTAGTCTCAGTGATTCTGTTAAAATGGCATCTCTGACATTATATTCCATTTCTGTTTACCTAATTGGCTATTCCTTCTTTGTCTCCTTTGCTGGCTGCTTTCCTCTGTCAGACCTCTGAATATTGGAATATACCAGAGTTTGGTCCTGGGTTTGCTTCATTTTTCCATCTTTTCCCTCTGTTTGATTTTATCTAGTTCAGTTGTTTTAAATGCCACACTGAGCCCAGCTGTCCTTGAGCTCCCGGCTCTTAAACTACTTACTTGATATTTCTGTCTGGATGTCTGTTGGGATAACAACTTGACAAGTCTAAAATGCAAGACTCAGTTTCTTCACAGGAGCCTGTACCTTCCTCAGTCTTCTCCATCACAGCTAATAAATAGAACATTCTACACAGTTGCTTAAGTACTAATTTAAGAATTGTCCAATATTTTTCTCATTCTCTTATCTTTCACATTTAATTTGTTAGCAGGTTTTGTCGGTTCTGCCTTCACAATATATTTTTAATCTACCCTCTTTTTTCCATCTTGCTGTTATTATTATAGTATAGGTCCTTTTTGTTTCTCGTCTACATTACTGTACTAGTTTTCTAACCAGTTTCCCTTCTTTCCACTTATGTCCCTACCAGTGATCTTTTAAAATGTACATTAGGTGATGTCACTTTGGTTGGAATTCTATTGTGGAATTCCATTATACCTGGAATAAAATCAAAGTCCCTTACCCTGATCTACAAAGCTTTACGTTATAGCATCAACCCAGAGTCCAAAATGTCATCGAAACATCAACTCAAAAGTCTCATTATTGAAATCATTTACATCAGATATAGGTGAAACTCGAATGATCCATTCTGATTCAGAATTCCTCTACAGCTGAAGACTTGTGAAACCAGAAAACAAGTTACCTGCTCTCAAAATGCAATGACAGAACAAGCATAAGTTAACAATTATAGACATTTCTACCCCAAAAGTGAGAAACTGGAAGGCAGAAAGGAGTCACTGGTACCAAGCAATTTTGAAATCCAGCTGGGAAAAAAAATTTGGTTTCAAAGGCCTGGAAATACCACTCGGTGGCACTTAGCTCTGAGGGCTGAGTGAGGCTCCACCCTCTGGGTCTAAGACTACCCAGAGCCATCCTTCCGTTTTCACGGTAGGTGGTTTTATTTGTACCTAAGTAGAACTTCCAGCCTGTTTCCTGCCTGTAGAATTTTGGTGGACTGTCAGTCTTCTTTCATTTTGCCCTCTCTTATCCCTTTCAGGATAATAGGCAGTGTTTCTGCCGGCATAATAGTCTCAAAAAAGATGCTTGTGAGTCTTCTCAGTAAGTCGTGAGGATTCAGTCCATTAGACGAGATGCTCCTCCACAGATCTTTCCTAGATAATTCCACCTCTGTTTTTTGGCTTTTGCTCAGATGGCTGAGGGGAATCCATGAGTCACATGTCTTAATTTCTTCAGCGAGCCCTCTGTGTCACTGAATATTATGACCTTTTTTTTTTTTTTTTCCATTTTGAGGCACTGGCGAAAGGTCTAGCCACCAATCTGGTAGATTTTAGAATGTCCCACGTTCTAGATTATTTGTTTACACATAATACAGAAAAAATAAATAAGATATATAAGTTTATATGAGAAATAAGTGTGTGTATTCTTATTTCTCCTATCTACAAAAGGTAAAATATTGTATATTTGTATCTTGCTTTTTAAAAAAAAAACAAACCTTACTGTATATGCTAGAGTTAAATTCAAATCAGTAGGTAGAGATTTCTTACAGTCTTTTTTTCTGGCTGCATTGTACTCCCGTTATGTGAACATACCATAATTCAACTGATTTCCTACCAATGGAAATTGCTCCGTTTTAAAATATTTTACTGTTAAAATAATGCCGTGGTGAATACTCTTGTGCATATGTTATTAGAGATCTATCTTTAGGTAGATTCTGAGAAGTGGGGTTGCTGAATCAAAGATTATTCTTACATGATTGTATTAGAAATTGCACAATTCCTGTTCTTATGCATTGTACCATTTTGCATCCCCACCAGAAATACATGAATTTCACAGCCCTGTGAACAGAGTACCGCAAACTTTTGGATTTTTTTTGTTGTTGTTGTTAGTCTGGCAAGTAAAAAATTGTAGTTTGGTGTCAAATTTTCATTTTTTATAAGTGAGGTCAAATATCTCTAACTTCTGTTTATAGAATATACAGATGTCTGCATAGTATGATTTGAAAGACACTAAAAGAACATACTTCTTCTGAATTGTCTTTCCCATCAGTGTTCGATGGTTTCTCATCTTGACATTTGCTACAATTAGGATCTATCTAAGCTTTAGAAATTCATTTCAAAACATATTCTGTGAGAAGAGACGGTGGGGCGCTATTCCTTGGTCCTCTAGCCTTTTCATCGAAACACCTCAGCATAGTATATCAGGTTATTTTACTTTCATTGTGGAAACTGGGGAATTATGGACCTGGAGGCACGATACCTAGGACAGTATGGAGAAGGGTTTGGCTAGGTGGGTGAAAAGCAGAAGTGGGACAATCTTGGACAGTGTCCAGATGAGCAAGTCTTAAATGCCAAGGGCAATCTAAATAGAGGATGCTGAAGACATACTGCATCTATACTCTGGTTTTCTTGTGAGTTGCTTGGCATTGTCTCTTTTCATCTACATCTAGAGGAGACCCAAGCCCCTTTGAGTATTCGCATCCATTTTTTGACTTGGAGTGAAAAAAGAGTCTGAAGGGAAAGGTTACATTAGTAATATGGTGTTTGCTAGATCCACGTTTAAAAGTGAAGGTGCAACAGGTCCAGACTCACACGAAATTATGATGTATGTAACATTTGTCTCCATTATCTCCTTTCTTTAAATGTGAAAGCTCTTATTTTTAAATCTTAAGTAATACCTCTTACATAGTTAATAAGAGCATTCCCTAGCCCTTCCATTCTTTATACTAGTCCCACTCCGCAGAGACAGAAGCTTTCAGCTCTTTTAGCTGCCTTTTTTTTCTTGTATACCTTCATATTCTAAATAAAGCTTCTCTGCTGTTTCTTGATTTTGAAAATATTTTTAGATCTCTGTTTTCCTGGTATGGCAGGTGACAAGTTGGTTATAGTAGATTAGCACAGTGGTTAGGTATGTGGTTCCAGAGGCAAGACTGCTGGGTTCTAATACCATCCTGCTATCACTTATTGACTGTGTGATGTTGGGCAGACTTCTGAGCCCTTATGTATCTCAGTGTTCTCATCTGTAGGATGGGATAGCAGTATTGCCTTCCTCACATGTTGTTATGAAGATTAAACTAGTTAATATGTAGGAAATGAATATCAATCAAAACCAATCAATAAAAGTAAATAGTAAAGTGCAGTAATTTTAATCATTGTGAAAAATAATAAAATAGTATTTCATCCTCCTCCATGCATTTGTCCACATTCTGTTTCCCCAGTATAGTTGTATTTGGTTGAGTCAATTTTCAGAATTTAAATTTTTATGATCAGTATTGTTTGCAGTAAAGACGTATACAATATTTATATTTCCTTTTTTGTACAATTTTCACCTCTCTAAAAATATCCTCTCTCTTCACCATCCACTTTCAGGCACCCACCTCA